GCTGCCACCTCTCCCTAACTCATCGGAGCTAAACTTCCTGAAGGAGCCACGTGGCTCAGGGTCTCACCTCTCATCTGCCCCCAACCCAGTCTACTCTAAGATCAAACAGTGGCTCTCCGGGCCTCCCCACTCCTGGTCCCAAGTCCCGCAGGCATTGCCCTCTCACAAGGCTGGCCTGCAGCCTTTGCAGGTCAGCTACTTGCCTGCTGGAGATGCCCCTTCCTCTGCCTTGAGGATACCCCCTCCTTGGGTTGCTCCCCTGACTTTCTGCCCACTCCTTCCCTGCTCCTCCAAGGGCTACTCCCTTCCTTTTGCTGCCTTAAGATGTTGGGGTTCTGGGGGCTTGGTTGTAGGCCCCATCTTCCCCCTTCTCTGGTCTCCCGCGATACTCTGAAGGCTGAGGGCTCAGGTATGAATTCCCTGTCTGCATGTCGTTTCTGGGGGGCATTCAGAGACCCAGTAGCCTCTGGGCATTGCAGCAACCTGAGAGTCTTGCCAACAGCTCCACATCATCTTATCTAAAAGAATGATTGGCCATCATCTCTTCCTCTGTTCCAAGCACCACTTCACTCCTGCTCAGCCTAAAGACCCACCCTACCCATCCAAGGATCCGTGGTGTGAACCTGGTGTCAGCCTAGCCCTGGCTCTTTCCTGCCGCTGGCTGCCCCAGGGAGTCACCTTGTTCCTCTGCTGCTCTCCAGCCACCCATTCCTCTCTAGGACTATTCCCTTCCCTATTGCTTGCTCAAATGGAGGCAAACTCCTCTGCCCCACCCTGACCGTTCATTCTTCCCATGGCAGCCACAGTGTTCTAAAACGCACATCTGATGGGGTCTCACCACTGTTGAACACTTCCCTAGGCTTCTGTCACCCGCAGGAAGAAGCCCTGGCCCCTCAGCAAGGCTCACAGTCTAGCCCCTACTCCCCATGTGGCCGCCTCCTCACCCTACTTCTCACCCAGCCCAAGCTGCACTCACCTAGCCCACTGTGCCCTTCTTTGGCCTTGTGGTGTTCTTCCCAGCCTCCTGGCTTTTGCCCTTGGGGGCCTTTCTCCTGCATATGCCCCCTCTTCTTTGCTAACTTTCCTCCTACCCTTCAGGACCCCCAAACCCCCACTCTGATACTGATCCCCACAAGGGTCTCCTGCTGTGCCTGGGAGCTTCCCCTACCTTTCTCTGTGCCCACCCTCTCCATGTGCTGCTGTTTCCTTATCTGCTTTCTCCACTAGACCACGGGCTCTTTAAAGACCCCCAGGCTTAGCTCCGTGTCTGGCACACCGATGATGCTTTCGTAAGTATTGTTTAAATAAATTACTGAATGTGTGAATGCCATGTTCCGTACACTCCTCTCTCCTAGTACACAAAGATATGTAAGACAGCTTTGGGGTGTGCATTTACTGTAGCTTTAATTTGTTAAGAAAGGAAAGTGGTGGGTGATGCTAGGGTTATGGAGGAATCAAGGCTGAAAGTGTGGGCTCTGGAGCCAAGATCCCGGGGCTCAAATCCAAGCTCTGTTTCTTGCTGAGGATGTGAGTTTGGGCAAGTTACTTCGCCTCTCTACACCTCAGGTTCGCTGTCTTTGAAATGGTGATGATAACTGTGCTCATCTCAAGAACTGTGGGGGAGGGTTAGATGCATTCATGCTTGAAAAGCCATTGAAGGTAGGTATCATTATTCCCATTTTACAGATGAGGAAGCTGAGACTCAGAGAGGTGATGCCGCTTCCCCGAGGTGGAGCAGCTGGTAAGGAGAGGGCTGGGATTTGAGCAGCTTCTGGGTGGAAAGCTCCAGATATACTACTCTACTATGGCCTGAAAAGGGTGCTTCGTGAAGAATCTGCTGTAGGGCCTGGCACATAGTAGGTACACACTAAATATTACTCATGTAAACGGATCCCTCTGCAGAGACCCATCTAGGCTTCAGCATTTCCCGCTCCCTTAACAGTGTCGGGGGAGGTCTGTCTCTGGGTCCTTTTTGGCCAGGGTGTTGGCAGCAAACTCTTCCTTATTCAGACCTTTCTTCTGTCCCAGCATTTCATGGGGGAGGGTCATTAAGAAAGCTTTTTCCCAGGAAGAGCTGTGCCTTCTCCAAGTCTCCGGAGTTGAGTGCCCCAGCCCCCATCCTCTCAAAGGCTGCCCTTGTGGGTTTCAAAACAACCCCACTGCCCTATAGGCTGAGAACCTGGCCCCCGAGCCCCCTTTCCTTTAGAAACCAAAGGTCCATTCCTAGTTAAAGTCAGCGTTGGTAAAACCTGAGGAAAATAGTTTGAGGATGTTTTCAAACAGTGTCTGGTAAAACAAAAGAGCAATTCATCCTCCGTAGCTTTTAGTAATCTGCTTCCCATTCTGGGAATTAGATTGTTCAATTAAGCGAGAGGGTGCCGGAGCAGGCTGCATGACTCAAAAGTTTGCAGCATCCACATTGTGGAAGAGAGGGGATCTGAGCCAGCTTGTGCCTGGCGGGCCTGCCCCGCTTTCTCCCTCTGTCCCCATGCGGGTTCCAGTTTTCAGGTCCCAGGTTCAGAAAACAACTACTTCAACAAGAAGGCACGTGTGTGTGTGCGTGTATGTGTGTGTGTGTGTGTACATGCATGTGTGCATGTGCATACGCGTGCATACACCCCGGCTCAGTAGGGACCTCGTGTGTTCCTCTAGTGACAAGCTCAGCATCTCGAGTGGGCTGGTGCAGAGTACACCTGGGCTGTTTCTGTCAGCAGCAGCCCTGATTCCTTCCAGCTCTGGGTTGTCCCTTGTAGTTCACCAGCTGATGGGCATTGGGGATGCTTTGGGTGGCCGTGTGTAAGGCAGGGTAAGCCCACACAGCTCTTAATCTGGGCAAAGGAGAGCCAGTAGGTACCTGAAATTCCTGCAGCATTTTGGGAGCCAGTGTGTTTCTCTGGGGAGAAAGTCCATCCCTTCGGTAACTTCCCAAGGGATCCATGACTTCCTCCCTCAAACCCCTCTCCTCCTCCCTCCAAAAAAAATAAGTTTAAAAATGATTCGGGTGGCATTTGGAGATCACTCCTTCATTACCAAAAACTCTACTTCTGTAGTGCTCAAGCCTTACTGTGTATGAGAACTCCTAGGGGAAATCACAAAGTGTAGCTCCCTGGGAGCCACTTTGCAAAGGTTGGGACCCAGTGGGTCTGTGGGGGTGCAGAAAGTTTTGTGTTTCTGGCAAACCTTTGGGATCAGGGATCATGCCCAGGGATCATGCTCGGGAACATGCTACTCTGTTATACTCATAGATTCTCTTAAAGGCCTCATTTAATAAGGCCTGTAGTTTTAAAATGAATTAAAGCCAGAGACTGCTAAGACATAAGAAGCAAATAAAATAACAATTGTTATTATAATTAAATGGCTGCCTCCTTTCCTTCATAAATAACTGGGACCTTTTTTTGGTCCACCTTATTCTAGTAGAGAGCAAGGGCCATATGATGCTTATCTTTTTTATCCTAGGGTCTGACATAGTGCCTGGCACCTAGTAGGTGCTCAGTAAATGTGTATTGTATTTCAGTGGATGTTCCCACTTCTCCTGGCTAAGGGTATGAAAGCTGATTTCCTTTTGAGTAAATCTATGACTGCACACAGTCTGATTTTGTTTGGGGGCCTGCCTGATTTCTCTGGCGGGGCTGGGGCTGGAGGGAGCCTGTAGACCAGTGCTAATTGGTGTCATTGAGTAATTAATGCAGAATCAGGCCCTGAGCGGATTCCCAGGGAGACAGACACTGAGGGTGGCTTTCATGCTTGGTGGGATGGGAGCTCCTTTCTCAAAGGACGTTCCCAGAGTGCCGAGGCGACTGGCTTGGTCTGGTGGGGGTTGGTTTGGCAGCCGGAATGGGATTCGTGGAGCAAGCTTGGAGAGGGGGTTTGTGTTGGTGCCATAGTTCTGCACAATATGGAGCGTGGCGAGTTTGACTTTAAAGGAACACAAACCCCAGGCATGGGCTCTGAGAGCCAGGCCTGCGTCAACTCTGAAGAATTGATGGGTTCTGAGGGAAGTGAGCCTGGTGGCATTAGCTTAGCTCACCCAGAGTCCTCCCTGTCCTGTGGCCTGGGCCCTCTGGGAAGCCTCTACACTTTGGCATGATCGTCAAGGCTCCCCCTGGTACCACCTCTGCTTACCTTTCCTGCTGTTTCCTTCTGATCCCTGCACCCCAGCTTGCTGTTCCCAAAGCACACCATCCTCTACTTCTGGTCATGCCGTTCCTTCCACCTAAAACCATCTCCACTTCCTTCTTCTTCTGACCAAATTCCACTTACCTTTCACAATTTGGCTCACATATCACTTCTTTCAGGAAGCTCTCCCTGACCCGCTGTAGCAGTCAGGATATGTTGGGTTATGCTGCAGTAACAAATGTCCCCAAAGAGCTCAGCAGCTTCAAGCAACAAAGTTATTTCCTGCCCAGACTATATCTCTGACACAGTAGCAGGTGGTCACTCAGGAACTCAGGTTTTTCAAGGCTCTGTCTTGACACATGCTTCTGTAATGACAGCAGAGTTAGGGAGAAGAGATGATGGAGAACCATACCCCCAGTCTCTGGAAGCTTCTATCTGAAATGGCACGTGTTTTATTGTTGGTCAAACAATGGTCAAAGCAAGTCCTATGGCCCCCCTCAAGTTTGTCAGGGCAGGATGTAGGGGCTCCCTTCAGGGAGGAATATAGGATATTTATGGCTGGTAATATGATCTCCTGGGAACCCCAAGGTAGGCTGGATGCATCCTCCATCGGAGCCCTTTCCATGCTGTTCTTGTACTACATTTGTAGACTTGCCTGTCTTTTTCCCCAGAGAGTGAATCCATGATCCAAGGTCCAGAGGGCTGCGTCTTGTTCCTCTCGGAGGCCCCATGTCCTCCCCAGAGGAGACATTTGGCCCATGGTGGACGTGGGTGAATGAGCACATGGGCCAATCCCTGCTCCTCTGCAGCACTAGCTTTGCTGAAGATGGGCCAGCCCCAGCCCCAGCCCCAGCCCCAGTGACTCTCCACCCTACCTTCTGCAGGCGCCGGGTCTTGGCCATCTCCGATGGGATCGAGCACATCGGGAACCTTCGCTGGGAGCTGGCCTTGTGTCTCCTGGCAGCCTGGACCATCTGTTACTTCTGTATCTGGAAGGGGACCAAGTCTACAGGAAAGGTAAGAGGTCAATCTTCAAGCAGCTAATCGTGGCAGGGGAAGGCATGAGCTCACAGATGACCCAGAGAATAATGGGGAGTTCATGTTGCAGAGGCTAGCACTTAAGTTGGGAGGCGGGAGGAACACTGGACCAGAGTGACCACCCTCAGCACTTATTGGCTGCCCACGTTAGGACAGTTCAATTTTACCTTCTGAGCCTCAGTTTGCGCGTCTATGAAATAATAAAGCCTTGCCCTGTCTGTCTTATTGAGTTGAGAGTTATACAAGGTAAGAGGGTTAAAGTGCTTTGAAAATTGGGAAATGCTGAACTACTACAAGGATTCTTTGGTAATGAAGACAGGGGTTCTAGGTGTGCATGAGGGCAGGTGCTGCTGGCTGCCTCCACTGACAGACCCCAAGATCTCAGGGGTGTATTCCTCCCTCACCTGGAGTCTGGAGGAAAGAGAAACTGCTTCATCTTGCAGCCTTGCTGTGTCACCTGCACCATGCAGTCTCCCGGGTTGCTGCCTCACCAGGGAAGAGAAACTGGAGGAGGCTAGCTTTTAACTGCCATGGTCTGGGAGTTACACGTGGCTCTTCCACTCACAGGCTGTTGGCCAGAACGTGAGACACGGTGTCACCTACCTGAGACATGGTGTCACCTACTGCACAGGGGCTGGGAAGCAGAGGGGACCATGGGGACATTTGGGGAGTGAAAATGCTGTGCACTGCAAGGATCAGTACAGAGGTTAGAAACTTGCAGCCAAATCCAACTCACTTCTGTGTTTACTTTAAAAAGGCGGGGAGGGGAAGAATTCGTTGACAACATTTAAAAATCAGGATATTTCATGTGGAAAAAAAAAAATCTGATTCTGGCATCCCTTGGAAAGTAAGATTTGGCAACCCTGGACTTGCCTGCCCACACAGCAGCATGTGTTTGAACTGAGCAGCTGCCACCTCCTTCCAGGGAGCTCTGGTTGGCCACAGTCCCCACCATTCCCTATCGCCCCCAATCCTGTGGCTGAGTGTCGATGCCAATGGTTTCCTCATTTTGCTATTCATTTTTTTCTTACAAAAAAGGGGGAAATGAAGCATCTCTTATGCCTGGGTTGCACTGACCACATCCCTCCTTGCCTGCCTCCTTCCCATAGGCCATTGCTCATAAACTCTAAGTTCTTGGCTGGGGCTGCTGCTGGAGATAAAACCTCCAGGGAAACAGGAACTTAACAATTCTGGGCCCTTTTCCAAAAGATGTTCCCCTCAGCTCCCACAGTGGTGGGTAGGATGAAGAAGAAACTGCTAGAATGTTTGAGGTGGGCGGATCTGCAGGAAGGAAGCCAAGGTGTTCCGTGCTACGGGCTATCTGGAAGCTGAGGGTGCACTTAAAACAGTCACACAGATGCAGAGGGACCGCAGAAAGTAGAGCAGAGATTCTCATGTCCCTGCAGCCAAGGTGATTTTGCTTATATTTGCTTTTTGTAGTTTGTATCATGAAGAAAATAGGATTTTTCTTTTTCCAACTATAAAACTGTGTCATTATTGATCTACTTCTTCAGACTCCACACACGGTCTCCCATCGTCTTCCTTGCTGCCTCTTCCAGGAAAAAAGCTGGAGGGTATAGGAGTAAGGATTCAAACCCCAGGTCTGTCACCCTCTAGTCGTGACCTTGGGCATGTCGCTCCACTTCTCTGAGCCTCAGTTTCCTCTTCTGTAAGATGTGATTGATAAGTGAGCTTACCACCACATGAGGTGGTTGTGAGGATGAAATGCAAGGAGAGTTGAGTATGGCCCGTGCTCAACAGAGAGAGTAACTAATAGTAAATGCTGACTAAGTGGCAATCTTTAAAAATCTCATTATAAAGATAATTCAAGTCGTTGTTTCTGAGTATTTACTATACACTTAGCATTATTCAGCAGGTTTCTAAAGATGAATAAAACACAGCCTCTACCCTACCCAGACAATATATGAAAGTGCTTCATGAACCGTGAAGAGAAGGGAGGAGGTATCATGGTTGGTATTATTACTAATTCTGCTATGGTTACCACCTCTTGGGAGTTGACACAGAGGCCTGTGGCGCTTGGCGGGATGGCGGCTGTGTGTGGGTGCAGGAAAGGTTGCCTGCACGAGGCTTGTGTATAGACATGGTTGGACTGTTCCAGGACCTCATATGGCCTTGAGCTGCAGGCCCCAGACTGTGGGCTGCAGCAGTGCGGTTTCGCTTAGCCAGCAGGAGAAGACTTAGTCCGGTAGTGGGGCCCTTCGCTGCTGACTGGGCAATTAAGTCTGAGCGCTGGAGAATTCTAATGCAAAGAACTGAGTTCGACGAAGGGCCAACAGCTAGGATCTCAGAGATTTCACAAGAGGCTTATGGGGAAGGCAAGGGAGTGAACACTTATCCACTGCTTTCCACTCCCTGACATCTTGCAAGAGCTACAGATCCTCACAGCCTGGCGAGCTGCTGCCTCTACCTTACCAGTGGAGAACCTGGGGCTAAGGGAGAGCGGGCAGCCTGGCCATCGTTGCATAGTGACCCTGCTTCAACACTGACCCCAGGCAACTCCCTCCTTGCCTCCCCCTGGACTCTCAATTAAGATGTAGAACATTGTGTTGTTTTGAGTGGTATCTTTTCACACATCTTCCCTGAACGTCGTTTTTCTCATCTCTGGTAGGAGTGGTAGTGATGGCAGCATGATAATTATCAGTAGTAATGGTTAATATTTATGAGTGCTTCCTTTGTGCTTCTCATGCCTACTGCATTTAGGCTTTGAACAGCCCCGTGAGATGGGGGCTGTCGTTATCCCCATTTTACAGATGAGGAAACTGAGGCATGGAGGGATCAATAATTTGCTCAAGGATCCTCCAGTAGGAAGCAGAAGACTGGGATTAACTTCCAGCACTGGGGACCATGCAGTCCATGTCCTGGATATACTGTCATACCTGTCATCTGTGATGGGAGGACTATGGTGATTTTCTTATGGACTGGTTATGAAGAGGTATTTAATGAGATAGCACATAGTAGGTGCTCAAGGATTATTGGCTGCAGCTCTTTCTAAATGGTGCTTTTAAGGGAAATGCTGAAACCAGATGAGCCAAGTAAGTATTTTCCTGAAGACTGGGTTTCTCCTCCAAGTGTCCTGTGGCCAAGGCCAGCATTAGTATCCTGGATGAGATGCAGTTTGCTGGAGCTGTAAGAATCCTTAGAAATGGTTTGGTTCACCTCTGCCCTTATTTTATGGATGAAGAAACTGAGGCTCAGAGAGTGGAAGGGCTTGCCTGAGGTCACACAGTGAATAAGTATCGGGCCAGGAGTGACAGCCTGGTCCCCAGTTTCCCAGCTTGTTATGAATGATGAGGTTCTGTGGGGGCACATCTGGCAGTTTAGAGAAACCCCGAGTCCGTGAATTGATAGGTAGGCTTTTCAGGGGAGGATCTGGCACTTTTGTTCCTGTTTACGACTTGCTTCACTTTGGAGACGAGCCCAGCACCCAAAGGTTTTTTTGTGTTCTGTACAAAAACAGCTAAAAATAAAACATGGGGTCATTTGAAACTTCCCAAGTGGGCAGAGGTCACCCCTGCCCCTGGCCTGTGGGAACCTAGCCAGACCCTTTTTCACGAGGCTGTTCGAATAGGAAGAAACCCATCTCCCAGCTATTGTCCAGCTGCGACTAGCTTTGTGTTCCCTCTTCATCTCTTCCCTGAAGTTCCAGCTTGCTGCCCATACTCAAGCCTCAGCACAAATTTCCATTTATAATAAATGTTCGTTAATTCAAGAAAAAGTCCCCAGACCCCACCTATCTCCAAGGGATGTTAAAACAATATCCCCAACTTTAAGTCAATTCAGTGAGCATTTCACCTGCTCAGGGAGGCAGACACTGTAGACCTGGCCTTTCAGCAGGTGGTTCTGTAAGTGAGGATTTGGGATCAGGTCATGAATAAGTTGATCTGAAATGGGGCTCTAACAACACCAGAGGTGAAGTCCTAGAAGCACTGGTGTTAGCGTCTCCCTGCCGGGACAACATCCACACATGTTCTTCTCCACAAACCCCCTTGGGTACCTCCCAGTATGCCTCACAATCTTTTGACATTAGGCATGTGGGATTTCCCCCAACCTCGGGGTCCGATGAGCAATCTGTTCGCTCAGAAGCAGTTTTTTTAGTTCTTGCTCTAGACACTACTGGAAATTTCAGAAATCTCCTATTTAAAAAAAGCCTTTCTCAATTGTGTGTTAAGTCCTGCGAAAACATAGGATTCTAAAGTGCTTGCTTTCTTCAGGAGAAAATTTCCAGACTGTTTGTATCTTCTGGATGATGCAAAGTTTCAGTTTGGATAATTGGAGTGGGGATAATTGAAATTAAGTGACCAGAAAGTGGAGACGTCTTTGTGATTTTCCTATGTCTTTGTTTTTTTCATCAATTGAATCCATCTTGCCCATTCCTGTCACCAGCTCCTTCTCCTGGTCTCCTGGGTCTGAAACCACTCAGGCATGTTGGATACCTCTCATCCAATTATTGACCAAGTCTATTTTTGTTTAAAAAGAAAAACACCAAAAACATCCTGTCCTCTCCATTTTTGTTTCCCACCCACACATTCAAGAAACATTGAACCTTCAGTAGTTCCCTAGTACCTCCAGAATGAAAATTGCCCTTAGAATTTCCCATTTGCACAAACATTGCAGACATGCAGAATGATAACAACTGAAATGCTTTATATTCTATGAAACAACAATTTCACATAAATTCAGAATTGTAAACTCTATCTTAGGCCAAAGCATGCACAGCAATATTAATGTTTTGTGATATTTTTCTAGTATCTCTGTGCATATTTGTTGAAGCCAAAAAAAAAAAAAAAAAACCTTTTCATTACTGTGTGTCCTTCTCTTGTGGTTTTGGTAAGCTTTAATCTAATCCAGGGATTGGCCAACTATGGTTTTAGGGCCAAATCCAGTCTGCTGCCTGCTTTTGTAAATAAAGTTTTAATGGAACACAGCCACATCCATTCACCCACATATTATCCCTGGAT